CCTCCTCTCAGGCAGTTGTAGGCAGCGATGAGGGCTCCCCTCAGCCTCCTCTGCTCCAGGCTGAACCCCCCCAGCTCCCCCAGCCGCTCCCCAGCAGCCTGGGGCTCCAGACCCCTCCCCAGCTCCGCTGCCCTTCTCTGGACACGCTCCAGCCCCTCCAGGTCCTTTGGGGAGGGAGGGGCCCAACCCTGACCCCAGCACTCGAGGGGTGGCCCCCCCAGTGCCCAGCACAGGGGCACGCTCCCTGCCCTGCTCCTGCTGGCCACACCACTCCTGATCCAAGCCAGGATGCCGCTGGCCCTCTTGGCCACCTGGGCACCTTCTCTTTCTCTCTTTCCTCCACTCCTCCTACATTCTCTTTTTTCCTTATTTCCAAAGGGACAAATTTCAGGCAGATGGGAGAAAAAACCACCAAAACACCCCAGATTACAGATAGATCCAAGAGTCTGGCCTCATGTCGCGGTACCCGCAGCCTGCCCGCGCGTCCCTAATGAATCGGACACGTATTGTAGCCGTGTTTTAAGTCCTTGCATTCGTGTGGTAAATCTCGTTTCGCTTGCTGAATGACGAAGCCAAGGAGAGAGGGAGTTGTGAAGCTTTTCAGATGTTCTGAGATAACTGGAATAACGCATCCAGCGGATTCCACCGATGGAACAGCCTTGCACAATGTATTTATAATTACAATCAGAAGTTTCAAATATCCTCCCCTCCTGCACAACATCTCCAGGGAAAGACATTCCAGGGTCAAACTTTCATGAATTACTTACTGCGTGTCTTCTGAAGATTCCTGTTTTATCTTTAATGTCCTTTTCGTGGTAGGCATTTCATCTGAAAGGGAAAATTGCAACAGGCAATTATATTTTAAATAATGTTCCTGGGGCTTTTTTTTTTTTTTAAGACTGAAATAAAATAAAAAATAAATACATCAAAGTTGCTTCCTAAGCCAGGCAGTCCACCAAGTCCTGCAGGAGATGGCTCTGGTTCCTAAATCCTCCGTAACTGAATATTTTTTTTTTTTTTCTTGGAAGCGATGCGACCAGTTAAGATCTGAATCTCCTTCCATAACTGCAAAACCTCTGGAGGACAAGGCTGCAATTCCCCCTATTAAATCGCAAATCGATTTAATTGCAAACTGCATTGTTGGACCAAAAAAAAAGGAAAAAAAGAAAGCGAAAAGGCTTCTCTGCTTCCAGTGGCACATCTGAAGAGCAAGCACCAGAACAAATCCATCTGTGTCCCATTTGTTGTGCGCTAAGCGCTTTTCCCATAACTTCTCTGAACACGGAGAACAACGTCAGCCCAAGCGCGCGCGACCGTCTCCGCTTCGACTGGAGGGGGACGGTGACAAAGCAGGGGAGCGCAGTTTGACTCGCCAGAACGAGCCAAACTAGGCAGAACCAGCCGTCGCTTACATACGTTTTGCAACGCCGTCTTCTCCCCACCACTCCTCTCCCACACATTTCTGACTTTTACACCCCCTGGGGAAGAAGTCGGAGAGAACCGGAACGCGGTTAACAGCCAGCTTGCAAATTTTAACATCGCGCTGCTACTCAAGCCTCCTCCAAAGCGTCCCAACCCAAAGATGTGTATGGATACGTGACGGCCTCACCTCTCCCTCCTACATCCTACAAAACACAAGGGGGGGAAAAAAAAAACCCAAACCCAACTCATTGCACCAAGAGCCTTTATCCAAATTCACCTCCTGGCTACCGCTTCGCTTGGGTCTCCTCTGCATTTGACCGACTTAAACCTTCTGCCGTAAGAACTCCCCCCGTGCTCAGGCGAGGGGGGAACACGCACCCCTGAGGTCAGGGGCTCAAGAGGTATCGATCCACTCAAAGAACCCCACTTTTCCACAAACCCACTCGGATCGGCGTGCGTTTTCAATCCAGAACGTGACAGCTTGCTCCGTTTGGCAAAGTTCAATCAGCCACAGGCCACAACCGGATCTCCAAATTAAGCGATATATCAATTCTTACACAGAGGCACCGATAATTCAGGCAGGAAAAGCACGTGGGGGAGTTTGGTTTAGGTCTCAATCCTGGAGCGTGAACTTGCTTTCTTTTTTTTTTTAATTTAAAAAAGGCCGCAGGTATTTATATATTTAAAACCAACACACCAGTTGGGGTATATCAGAAGAAGGAGCAATATTTATAGGCATCAGTATTAACAGCAGTGGTCTGAAGTCCTCGTTAAGTTAAGCAAACGGTGTTGGCACGTTAACCCACGGGCTCAGCTGGTGCCCACAATCTCCAAAGCAGGGCACCACTGGAAGGGAAAATATCTCCCTGATCCCGCGAGGGGAAGTAGAACGGAACAGGGAATGTGTTGCCACCTCCTCCTCCGCTGTTCCTGGCCACAGAGCCCTTCTTTCCTCTCGCTAGGCTCTTCAAACTCCAGTCCCAATCCTAAAATACTTCGGGAACCGCAGTTTGCTTTTGGTGATGAACTGGGGAATTTCTTTCCCTTTTCTCCCCAAGGCCATCAGGGGTTTAGCACCTAGAGCCCGTCATGTCCAAAACATAACGTACCGAGACACGGATGTGTGCGAGAGGCACAAGCACAGGTAAAATCAGAGGACGGAGACGCGATGGGATGGGATTTTCCTTACCCAATTCCTGTTCGCCGGTCTGGTAGCAATGCAGATCCTGACTGTGGTTTCCCCAGTCCTCCTGCGAATACTCCTCCATTGTGCTGCCTTCCTACTCCAGCTCCTGGTACAAGCCGCTGCTGTTGATGAGGACGGGCTGGCAGGGCTGGGAGTCCCATCCTCCCTGCCCAAAAACCTGCTCCAGCTGCTCGAACGTGTAGCTGCTTTTCCTCTTCCCAACGCCGTGCTCCTTCACGCGGCTGTAGCACCTGCGAAGGGTCTGAGACAGAAAAACGCCCGTGAATCAGGCGGCGGCAGCGGCCGGAGCAGACATTCACTTGCAGACAGTTACACGGCTGCTAGGCAGGGGGTAGGATGGGTTTTCTTTTGGTTTTACTTCCACTGATCAGTATTCGCCCCACGCTCATGAGCTAAATGCAATGCTCCCGAATTAATCTACGCCCGCCAGGAAGCATCGTACGTATCCGACGTTCCCGCTGCAGCGATTTAGCGTTAACATCTACGACACGGGACAAAGTTGCGTAGCAGCGACAGGTTCGTCAGATTTAACTCTGGTGATTTATTCTCTTCCCCATTTCGGAAAAAAATCCCCAGATCTGCTATGTAACATAGTGGGGTTTTTTTTGGGGGGAAATAAATAAAATAAAAATACCAAGAGACCCCCAGTCAGAGATACCAACGAGCCAAGAAAATGCACACCTACTACGCGGAGGAGAGAGCAGAGCTGGTGTTGTGCCCACAGCTTGGAGAAGGTGAAGCGGGGAGGAGAAAGGAAGGAAAAGAGAAAGAAGAGTCCCCCAAAGCAAAGACGGTCCAACCTTCCTTACTCTGGTGAGAAGACACAAGGTACAAAATGTATATGCCTAAGCTATTCAGCTAGGAAAATATATATTACTTACATATTTTGCATTCCTTACTAACTCACTCTGCCTCTTGTGAAGCTGCTGAAATTTAAAAGAGGTCAAATCAATAATGCTCCAAATGCCCAGACTTCGATATCAAGCATTAAGTAAGAAACAATACTCGGGTGGCTCTGTCTGACAAGGCTTTAAAAACACTGCCGAGGCTGAAACCTCCCAGGAAGACCGATGCAAAAACCTGGTCTGCTTTTCGGTGATCCCTTCAGCATCCCGCACCGACGGCCGAGCCGGTGCCTCGCGCTCGACGGCGAGGCAAAGCTGTATAAACCTACGATTTCCGTCCGCATTTCCCCCTTAATCCGTAGCGACACACGACTGCTTGGGAGGGGAAAAAAAATAATAACAATAAAAAAATCTTTACGTGTACCCCTCAACGTGGTTTTAGTTCTACCACCACCCTGCTGTTGAAAGGTCACGGCGTGCCCTGGGTTGGCCGGATCTTTAGCTTTTGCTTGAACAGGAAAGCTGCCTCCGGAGTTCAAGAGAGGCATCAATTTGGGAAGAGCCAGTCCTGCCCCCTTGCCTTCTGGAAGAGGACTTTCAAGCACGCATCGTTGCAAAAACAGCTTGATTTTTTTTTTTTTTTTCCCCAAAAAGGAAACTTTACACCTCCAGAAAGCTCGGACCTACCGAATGCTCCTCATACACTGGTTTAACAGCGTCAGCGGGAAGGGAATACATTTCTACCCAGTTTCCTCGTGATATTCCGAGCCCTGGGGGCAGAAGCAAAACTGCTAAGCAGCAAGTCAGTTCTATCCTGCTGTTTCAAAAAAAAAAAAACCAAAAAAAAAAACCACCAACCCCAAAACCCACCCCACCCCCCCAAAAGAACACAAAATAATAAAAAAAAACCCCAAACCCAAACATACAAGCACACAGGCAGCAATAAGCACCAGAGTTATGCAGTGCTTTAAGGTAGAACCCTTCCCAATTTTGCCCTCGCTGCCTCCCGGGATGAACGGGCAGATCCGCCGTGGGTGGACACCAGCAAATGTGAAGTTTCTGCCTGCGAGCGGGGTAGAAAAGCACTGGCTCTGCCAACCTGGAACCAAAAACCCGGCCGAGAAACCTGTCTGTATTCACTGAAGGAAAACTGAGTTCCCTAGGGCTGGGGGTACAGATTAATTTGGTTGTTAAAATTCGGCAACAAGAACCCCTTGGGAGCATCGGGGCAGTTTTCAATGGTCTGGTTTGCCCTGAAAAGCGCATTGGAGGATGCTTTTTCACTCCAATTTCTCTCCTTTCGGCTCAAATCTCCCCGAGCGATACGGCCAAGCTCTTGTTTCACTCCCAGACTCCTTCTAAAAATCCACCCAAGTCAGATTTTTTGCAAAATGCTTCCCCAACCCCAGTTCTTACATCTGCCCTGCTTTATCCATCGGAGTTAACCACAGATTTAGAGCCTCTAGCTCATTTTTTTAGCAGCCCTTAAGCTAAACGAACCATCTCCAGCCCAGTTAACCAAACCCATCAACACTCTTGGCCAAGCCCTCTTGGGAACGCTCGACATCCACGGCCACTTGCTCTATTTTAAGCAAATATTTTAAGCTTCAAACACGTCTCCCTACCCATGGAATTGCCAAGTAATTCCTACACACTGGGCAGGCGCCTCGTAGTAATTAACTATTGCGTTCAGGCTGCAAACTGGCTTCTTTTACCATGAAAATAAGTTAGCGTCTAGTCAATGCAGACTAGTACGGTTTGATGGCTGGACTTGATCTTGGAGGCCTTTTCCAGCCTTCATGATTCCATGGTTCTAGCAGAAGAATTAAAGGGAGCAACGCAAAAAGGGGGCAAAAATAACGGAGCAATACTCTCATTGCTCATTACTCTTGCAAGTGAAGAGCGCTTTTGAGGTTACCGCCTAGATGCCTCTGGACCTGGCTGCACGGTTCATCTTTAACCTCTGCTTCTGGCAACAGATAACTTAAAATTTGAGTGAGGTAACCTAAAATTTGGTGCTTTCAGACACACCAGAAGGCCTGCGGCCAAGCAGCTGCTGGCTCCTTGGTCTTGTTTCCTGGAGAATCATGACTCCCGCTAGCTCTTCCTCCTCGGAAGGAAGGAGAACCATTCCCCAGGTTTTCCAGCAGGCATCCCTACCACTTTTCTAGGCGATGTTCACAGGGGGGCTCCGTCTCATGGAGGCCCACAGGCTTCTGCGTGGCCGGGGTGAGGTGGCCCAGACCAGTGGCTCTCCCCCCGCAGTTGCCCGCACCTCCCACGATGATTTTCTTCAGAGACCCTGGTTAAGACCTAAATAATTGCTCGGACTTCAGGAAACCTCCCCTGGACATTTTAGAGCACTCAATGGTACAGCCCTTTTCTCCCAGCAGGTTATTCTGATCGCCAAGATTGAAACTCGAGGTTTTTTTTCTTACGCACCTCCTCTATTCCTCCTGGCGTCCAGCTCAACTCCTGCTCCATGGTTCCTAAAGTGCACACACATATATTGATACAGATAGACAAGCAACCAGTACATTTAGGACAAGTAACTGAAAACAGACCTGATAACTGCCCAGTGACTGCACAGACTGGAAGAGACCGAGGCTTTTGCTTATTGCTCTGCAACACTGCCTGCAATACGAAGACAGATTATCTCCACTTAATTTATAATTACGAAAGCCAAAGGAGGAGACAAGTCAAAAAGCTCAACATGGATTTTCTCGCCATTTCTAACTTACGAGCCCTCATCTTCTCTACAGGTGGAGCCACAGGAGAACTGATCGCTCTGCAGGAGCTGCAGCGCGACAGTCGGAAACACTGGTCAGAAAAGCCTTAGGAGGTGACTTGGAGGGAGGCTGGAGTCACAGTCCTCCTCCCAGCAAAAAATAAGACGAGGGAGAACTGCACCGCAGCGAGCTTTTTATGTAAAACCCCTGAGATGGTCCAACACAAGAAACTCCAGACCCCTGACCCAAGACGTACTCTTACTCAGTGAGACGCTACGGGCTCCGCAGAGCGGTTAGGTGGCCTCCGGGCACGTCCACGTTGATCTATTTAAGTCTATTAAATGATAGCAGCTGGCCTAGACGAGGTCCCGACGGCACAGAGCACCGCTTAGCACAACGTTCAGCTCTGAAGATGCTCTTTTACTTAATGGGAGAGAGGAGCTCTTGGCTTTACGTCCCGAATTAAGGACGGCAGTAGCAAATAGCTTCCCTTCCTCGTCTTGCCAGGATACTCACAAGCAGTAAGAGATGAAACTACACTGGGACAAAAGAAAAGGCTTTTCAAGCCTGGAGTGGTTGTGGGGCATGTAGGGATGACCAGCACAGTCAAAGTTCTTGAAATCTTCGTGCCCGAGTTTGTTGGTGGGATCACAAGGAAACAGAACTGTCTACAGTGGTCTGATAGCTCCGCTCAACTTGCTGGCTCATGGACTTGTAGGTTAGAAGATGTGCGCAAGGCAGGAGAAAGTGAGGCTTACACAGGGTATCGCCACAAGAAGCCCTATTTCTGTGCTCTATCCCGAATAAACGAAGATGAAAGAGCAGCTTAAACTCTCGAGCGCGCCACAGGCCACTGCAGAAAGGCAGCCGCCGACTTCAATGCGTCTCCGATGCGAGACCCCGAGGCGTAACACTCCTCTGCCAAACACCAGCAGCGTGGTGCAAGCCCGCCCTCAAAACTTTGCAGGCGTGCGCTGCAGGAGCAGCCGCGGACCTGTCTGCAAAGCTCCGGCCCCACAGGTGGCTGCACATCCCCCAGATCGCAGCACGCGGGGACACGCTGGCAGCCAAGATAAACCATGCTCTGCACCGAAGAGCGAAGCCTCAGTCGTACCCTGATGCGCCCAAACACACGGGGACTTTCCGAAGGATTTGGCCCAAAGGTCTCCGGTACGGAACAAGGAAAGCGATGGGAATGTCCCAAGGGAAAAAGGGTGGTGAGGGGGAACACAGACAAGGTGATCGCCTGGTTGAGATAGGAACCAGAGATCTCCTTGGACAATGACTTGAAGAAGTAAAGTCACCCTGGAAGACACAGACAAGGGGTGTCAGTCAAAGCAGGTTAAGGCACGTGTTTTTAAGATGGGTTAGTTAGCCAGAGCTAGAACCTAACAAAAAAACCGCAGTGGATTTTCCACCACTGCCAATTTCTAAATCACAATTAAATAGATTAAAAAAAATAAGCTCTTGCCTGGACAGGAATTATTTACAGAAGTGCTACAGCCAACTGCAGAGGTCAGCCTAGATGAGGTAGGACTTTGCCAGCGACCGAGAGGGAACAAAGCCAGGGTATAACGAGCTGTGGCCCGGCCGGGTGAGGAAGTCACGCACCGATACGCGGTGCCGAGACGATGAACTTCCCTGCAGCGGCAGCGGGCTACACCTCGCGTCTCAAAATAGCCACCTGTGAAGATGCTCCATTGGTTGCTGCTGTTAGAGAGCCGAGAATAAAATTATTCATACCCTTCTCAGGGATTTGATGCTAATCGGGCTAGACATCTAGAGAGAAGAACCTCTCCAGTATTGCCTGCGGAAAGGCAGATGGCTGGGCACCTCCATCTCCCGACGCGCTGAGCTCCCGGTTTAAGACAGCACTGGAGGAAAAGAAGAGTAACTAGTTAGAGCTTGAGAAGGCAGCCCAGCAAACCCCTCTGCCATGCCCGTACCCACCACGGCCAACGACTTGTGGCTCTGTGAAGAGTTTAGATGGGATGGATGTGTCCTACAGGCAGAGCTTGGCTTGCACAAGTAAGGTTAAACCTACCCCTGCCACCACCTGCTGAAAAAGTGTTTAAAACCCACCGCTACTTACTTTAGTGCAACAAAGGCCACGCTTGAGTAGACTGCCCTGCCTTCAGAAACACCCTTGTTCCTAAAAGCCACCCTGAAGTTTCACACATCCACTGCGATTGGGACAAACATCTTTACGCCACCCACAAAGCTTGCCTTTCCAGGAAAGACCAAAGAGGTCCGAGATGTCCTCAAGAGGTTGGATCTCTGCTATCAGCAAGCCACGAGCCACCATACAGACTCAAATCCAGTTCTCCCTCTCAAATGAATGAGCAGAGCAAGGTCACCAGCCCCTCCGAAAGATGAAGAGCAGCACAAACCCTCCCGCAGGCAGAAGGGAACAAAAAGAACCCGCTCCTCTCCAAAACAAGCAAGAAAGCATCAAGGTGGGTGGCACCACAGGGGAAACTTCTCGCATAGCTCAGAAAGCTAAAAAACACTTTAGGCTCAACACCATCCTAGCAGTGTATTGTTGCCCA